TAACAATATCCTACACAGGGCTTACTGTATTAGCTGTATGAAAAATTAGGAATACTCGATTGCCCGCCCTGTATAGGTACCTATATGGAGATATTAAACCATTAAGAAACTACAGATTCAATGTAATCATATTATATATATATAGGTACCTACTATAGCAAGTAATACTTACACTTAGAATGGATTGAAGATCAGTAAGACCCTTTCTGCAATCTATAAAATCTAAATCATACATACGGGAAAACAGAATTACTGGCCTGACTACCAACTATCCATAAACGTTTATCAAGAATCATACACAAACAATGTCGTACTCGTTATTATACAGTTAATAATAACAGTTTAGCCGCGCCGAAACGTGTGTAAAACCAGAACGACAGGTGTATTATATATGATCGGGCGGAAAACGATTTTGTTCAAGTCGATTTCGTAACGACGGAGATGTTAAAAACACGGCAATAGACGCGGTTTATACCTACCAATAGGGGAAAAAAATCAATTTGCTTACAACTGGCTGCAGAAGAAGGAGAGGACGATCAGTGAACCGCAGAAATACAGCAACGAGCGAGTTCGAAACAGACGATAATTTCACTAATTTAAATGTGAAACTGAAACCTTGAAGGAAGTTGCATAATATACAGTTGGTCCTTGAAAGTGGACGTGATTTGATTTTATCTCCTGGAAGTGAAAGCGTTGTGCATACACGCATTCGAATATATTATTAGATATGTATGTGTACAGGCGCACGCGCACACACTCGCATATAATTTATGGTATAAACATTATAATATTAAACCGATCGGTTTTGGTAAATCGAATTAAATGTACTAATGTCTAATGTACTATTATAACATGAACAGTTTGATTAGCATCACCCAGAGCCAAGTACACTACAATAGTATATAAGTATCTACTCAGAAATATTGACGACTAGTAGATGGTTTTTTGTATTATTATTACGCATTTAAACTTTAAACTTTAGATGGGCATGTTCCATGAACGTTTTGTTTGGTGCTTAAGCACCCTTAATATTTCATGGACGATATATACATATGATACAATTCAACTCACTGAAGCAACGATAATTTTTAGACCAGTGTTTTTGATCAGATATCGATCAAGAGCAAGACGATATTACATGGAAACAACCAAAATAAACACAGACCGAAGAAGGTTAGCCGTATTTTACGGGAGCAACCACTCAGACGTGAATCGTGTAGATACCTGTACACAGAACACACGTGAAATAATAATAATATACCTAAACTGCATACATACATTGTTATAACCTTTCACCGTATTCTTATGCGAGTAATAGTAATAATACATACATATTAATGACGGGAAAGTAGTTGTTTATTACTGCAAAATATATTATACATATCGACGCTGAATATTCCGCGAATCGGCGGAGGACACTTGAGCTCAAATATTAAATAACGTATTATCTTACAGAATACTGAATAGGTAATATAAAATACTGCAAATACACAATACGGTTGTAAATAAATGTACCTACTACCTATACAAATATGATCGTTGGTTCTAATAGTAAGTTTTACATTTTAACGCTTTCGTTTGATTTAACTAGGTTGTCAAATGTTACCTTTTATGTACAGTCGAAAATGCCTAAACCAGAAAACGAGCGTATTATATATTGGTATAGATTAATATTTGGAGTGAACAATTTTTATCCGATCAAATGTACCACCGACTAAACGAAATTATTATTTAATAAAGTGAAATAGTAAAATATTTTAGCGATCACTGATATATACACGATCATTTACATAGGATTACTTAGGTATTATTGTTGGTTTTGAACTTATAAATATTATGTTCGTGGTTAGACCGCTCAGAAGCTCAAACTCTAACATACAAATTATATCATAATATGCCACTGCAACAATGTATTATTGTTAATCATTAAATTCGAGGCTGAAAATTAACTAGTATAAATGTTAAAAGTTTTTGTTTCTCTTACAACTTTTAACTTAACCAATTACTTTTTACTGCAATGTAAACTTGTAAACAAGTAAGACTACTCGAGTAAAAAGTGTATTTTACCTAGATGGCTAGATTATATTTTTCAGTTGAATAAAATATCATTGCATGGAGTTTCAAAAAATAATATTGCTTACCAACTATTTTTCTTGTAGTTCACCTTTTACTGAGGTGAATATGTTTGGTCCATGATTATAAATATTTTAAGGTTATTGTAGCTTTTAAATATTGTTGATGTTTATTTGTGCCTACTTATATTATGAAAAAAGTTCGAATATATTTCAATATAATTATTATCTCAAGAAAAAACTGAATTTTCAAATTTCTAATTTTTTTCTACAAAAACTACTTAATCAAGATGATTTTTCCTTTTAATTTCCTAGCCTTGATTAATTATTAATAAAGTGGTATTAATCAATATTTATTATCTATAAATGAGAAGCCTCCATTGTAACTGGCGGGATCCCAACAAATAACCTACTACGGTAGTCCAGGACAGCCATGAACGAATGATGAGGAATAACTGAAATAAGTATAGGCGGTGTTTAATGAAATAATTGTTTGAAAGTTTAAACATTATTGGTTGGAAATATTTTTTTGAGAACAAAAATGTATAGTTATCAATTCATATGCATAGTAATTTTCATTCACGATTTTAGATTTCTATTCGCAACACCTGGTTAATTGAATATTTGAATAAAGACATTTTGTACAGGTATATAAACTTACGCTATTTCACTAGCTACCAATTTAATTCAAGTCATGTTCATGACACATTGGTGTCACTATTAGATTTTCTTTAAATAACTTAAATTAAATTTCAAATATCTACAACATGAATATCGGCGGTCTTATAGGTACTCCTCGTGTAGTACGAGTATGAGCTCCGCTCGTATATTAATTAGTGTTATATATACCTATTTAATATTTATACACCATCCTTATTCAGTTAATGTTTTGGGCATTATAAAACGTCAACGTTTACTTATTTTACTAATTTCATAATAATCAGAAATACAAATTATATATATATATATTATATTTAACAAATATTTTCAATTTAATATTTTGTGTTAGCCAAAAAGAAGTGGAAATAAATATTTTTTTTCTTTTCAGTATTACCCATCAAAACAAAATGGATTACAGACTGAGCATTTTGGCAGTGGCGTTGGGAGTGGCTGCGATTGTACTCGCTGCTGACGAAAAATCATCGACACCCGCACCGGAAGCCGAAGGAACAATCAGAATTTACCGCAGGCTAATACCAGCAGATGTCCTAAGAGGTTTGTTAAAATATTTTAAATCCAACGAAATAAATGCATCTAACCATAACGTCTAATAGATAACGTTTATGAAATATCAAGCACATTAATGTATACAATTGTATAGAATGCAGTATTTATTGAGAGTAATTTCTTCGAGATGAATTTAATAGCAACTGTCCAAACTACCGCTACCTTATAAAAGTTATAATATTATGATGTTAATCGTTGAACCTTGTCCCAAGCATTGCTATTAATTTTTTTTGCCATTTTCGTGCAATCCACGTTTGTACACCACGTCACCGTGATATTTTCTCCATGTTTGGCTGTCACTAAAATGTTGCCAGCTTAGTAGATACAGTTAGATAAACCCGAAGGTTCGTTGTCCATAAAACAATACCAGTGGTGCGGCCTTAATTTAACCGAGGAAGTGTGACCGCTTTCCATTAACAGCAACTCCTATTTTGATACGGGTTCGATTATTCACAAATCAAAATAGAAATCTCAAGAGCATTGATGTTTTTTATTGTGACTTATTATAGACACATCCTAACTTGATATAAAATTATGAAAGCACATTATTACGAACGAACAAGATAAAATTATAAGAGTAGATCATGTAATTAGTTAATTAACTTGTTAAGAAGTTAATAACAACCTTTACTGCTATAGTAGTATAGTTACTACCTAGTACCTACTCATAATGTTAAATATAGGTACTTCTAAGTTCTGACTATAAACTATTGATTAACCAATCGAGCATATCCGTTGTTGCATAGACCAAAACAGTTAGGACGTTAGGTTTTTTTATTCGAAATTTCAAATTATAACTTAATTTATTGCATTTATTTCAAAGAATATTATTAGGTATTAGCCATTAGGTAGGTACATTAAGTGCTATGTATAATAATCACTGTTACATGGATTGGCATTTTTTAAGAAGAGAGAGAAAATAAAGTATACGCCTATCCCATGGTTAGTTATATAATGTATTACCTACTCTATTAAAATAATATATGGGAATGTAAAATTATCCAATTAGTAATTACCCTATCTCTATTGACCAAGTTACAAGCCATAATATACTATTATTCAAATATTAAAATATATTTTAATATTATGAAGTATTACTCGTGAATATTTGATAACGATATTATAGGTCTTGACTTTTAAGTATTTAACGTTTTCATGGGAATAAAAAAACTATAAGTTAAGACAAACTGACAACTATATAGGCATTGGACCTTGAAATTATAACATTATTATTAACAATACTCAATGATATAATAATGTGACGAAAACACGTGTATCTGCCCACACAGATTTCCCTGGATTGTGTTTCGCGTCGACTAAATGCGCCACCGTGGAGCCAGGACACACATGGGAGCTATCACCGTTCTGCGGACGTTCCACATGCGTGCAAGGGGAGGGCACCGACCGACTGTTGGAGCTGGTTGAGGACTGTGGTCCATACCCCAAATCCAACCCCAAGTGCAAGCTGTCCGAAAAGACCAACAAGACAGCTGCTTTCCCCGACTGCTGCCCCGTGTTCGATTGCGAGCCTGGCGTTAAGCTCGAATATCCAGAAGTCACGGTGGTCGAGAACTCGGAATCATCCGATGCCGGCGCCGACAGCACCACCACCACAACCACGGGAAAACCCAAAGCTTGATGACGAGGGCAACGTGGAAGATCCATTAACCCTCAACCCCCACACCCCCTCGCACTACAGTCATCATCCCTGCAACATCGCCCCACGCACTTCTCATTATTATTAATATTACCTACCTATATATTTTTTTAAATTTTTTTTTAATTTTTTTTTTAACACAACTCACTGTAAAAGAAATGTTTGAAAAAAAATTCTGTTATACAATTTATACATACATAAACTACCTATATTTACATACGTGTATCTATAAATCATGTATACATATTACTAGATTAAAATGTCATAATTTTGATGATAATGTTATGATTACACTTTTGACAAAGTTCCCTATTAATTAATTACTAGTGTATAATCGTGAGAAAAAATAATCAACTTTAAGTTTTTAATTAATCTATTGTTTTATTACCTACCTAATATATTATAGCACCTATCTACTACCACACAAACATAACTATAATATTAAACATTACATAGATGCAGTGGCATCATTAAAGGGGGGCAAGGTGAGCATTTGCCCTTGCCTAATAGAGAAATTGGTCCGATTGTTGGTCAAACAGCATAACTATAATTTTTCTAATTTTGAAGAAATATATATACAATAACCAGGCAGCTCCATTTTTCAGAATTATTCAGGGTGACCATAGAAAATAATTAACAATATTTATGATAACCCTGAAGATAACGATTAGATTTGTATGACTGTTGTATCAATATAACGATATTTCTTCGATGAAATCGTTTTCATAAAAAAGTCAATTTTGAAAAAAAAAGGAGTTGTCTGATTATTGCACAGAGCAAATTGTATAATCATTAGAAAACTATTGTCATGATAATAATTAATTATTAATATTTTTAGTTCTTTAGTTCAAATATATAGATGCTGATACTATAGTAATTCTAAAAAACAGTCATTCTTAAATTTATCCATGATTCCGAAAAAACCTCTATATAAAAGTTACCGATTTTTGAATTTTGAATTTTGTCTTAGCAGTTGTATTTTATATTACCTATAATGTTATTTGTTTGGCCCCTTGAGAAAAATATAAAATAACGCCACTGAGATAGGTACCATAATTATTTAGCTCCGACATGTCTTTTTTTGTTAAAAAATTAGGTTATTTTTTCCCAGTCGTTCAGAAACAAATACAATTGCATAAAATGGGAATTGCATCAAGATAAAAATTAATTTAATAGTAAATCATACAGAATATTCAAACTTAAAAACATTTAACTATAAAAGGAATACCAAACAAAATAAAAAATAATTTCTTCTATTTATAGCAAATAAAAGAAATAAAATGCACAACAAATTTACTCTTTTTTTGACAGATATTGCGGCATAATCTCTAAAATTTAGTAAAAATTGCCTATATTAAGCTCTCTAAAAATCGTTACTGATGTGCACTCTCAAGATATTAGACTAATGCCGTCGGGCATCTAGTGATATTTGAATAAAATATATCCGCTATCCAATTGTTTTTGAGCCATTCTGAAAACTAGCGATAGATAAACGATATTTATATGAATATGATGCATAAAATAGAATTTTTGTTAATAATATATGTAGTCATTATATTACTTAATAATTTTATTGTGTACACAATATTTCATTTGAAGGTTGGCTGTAAATATAGAAGCCATTTTCAGTTATTTGTCTGTATAAATAAATGTATTTATAAGCCTTTAAAGTGGTAGGAGCTACATACAATTCCGCAAAGTCTTCTCTCGTTTCAACATGATGTACCGGTGATCTGAAGGCGTTGAACTGTTTTATGAAAGCCATAATGAATGAAAAACAATTGTGATTTTCTTCGTTGTATCTATTAGATAAAAAAACAAGACTACTTTAAGGTGTAAACCATGAAATACGTAGGTACTTATTATACAAAAAAATGCATCAAACACCCACTGGATGTTGTTTTTTTTAAATTCTGAGAGTAGCGAATGAATGTATTCTATCATTGTAAAATTATGTGTGTCTTTTTTTTCTGTTCATCACCGACATTTGTGGTAATGAAATGGGCGGGTACCCACTTGTCTACCTTTTTTATGATATATTTATAATTTTGTCTATGATATAGGAATCAAAATAAAATACAAATAAACATAATAGTGTACAAAAATAATAAAAAACAAGTCAATTAAAATTGCAACGTTAAAGGTAGCATTTTAGATCAAATTGTATTAAAGAAATTATCCCTCCTCATCAGGTTAAGCCACTTACTAATTAGTAATTACTTAAAACTTAAATGTAAATATAAGCTTTTTAGCTCTTATATTATATAGTTAGGACCTTAGGGGAAGTCATACTAACGTTAATATACTAAATTATATTTTAAAAAGAATCCATTTTACTTAGTTATTTTTAATATTAGAACTAATTAACTTATTACCATATTTAAATACTTTATAACACAAACATTTTTAATTTAAAAGTGTTCATAACTTCAAAATTTCAAAAAAAAAACCTACGAGGTAGACTAGAACTGTAAATATAAATCACGCGGACATGAGTGTTTGGTCGTAATTTTATTATTATATGATTAGAAATTAGTACTAAAAATAATAAAAAATAACTTTAATTGAATCGAATTATTAAACAGTACAGTAGTTGTAGCTGAAGTCCAATGTTAGAAATCCTAAAACTCAGTTTGCCGATATCTTGCTTATCCGGCGCTGCTTAGAGGGGCTATTTACAAAAATTACTCGAATACCAGCTACCTAATAATTTTAAAACGTGCAAAACGTTTAACGTAATTATAATTCAATACAAATGTTCTTAAACATTTACAAAAAATACATTTTTTTGGAAATTGTTGAACTAAGGCGTTGTATAAAACACTATTTCTTATTTTCAAAAACAAAGGTTTGTCTATCCTTCTACTGTTTTTGAAAAAATATTTTTTTCTTACAACTTATCTATTCAAAACATTTGTATTTTTTATAAATTATTTTCCAATAGGAATTTTCTGTATACATCATGCATGTATAATACTATAATACAATAATAAATTATATAAATATATCACAGTAAGGCTCAATAAATAATGACGCGATTGTATCCTCTCAGCAGTCAAGAAAACTATGTACGAAAAAAAAAATGTATGGTAGTTATGCATTCTGCTTGGCGCGGCCCCAGGAGCTGTTTCTGTCATATTTTTTTTGTAAATGCTGCCTTTATTTGTCTATATACATTCAATTTTGATGGCCTACGAAAATTCACCGAACTTTTATAATGTGGCCCTCCGAAAATATTAATTGGCGATTCCATACTTTATAGTTTATTCGAAACAATAACTTCAAAGGTGAGCATTAACTAGTTAGTTTATTTTCTAATAAACTTTTCAACTTAATTAGTTGAATTGGCAGTTGAAGTAACTTAGCTTTTCATAGTTGATTCAAAAATGATCTATCAAGTTAAACAAAAAAAAAAATTTTCGTTTATACGTAAATAATAAATATTAATGAAAAATAAAAATCATCAAACACTATATAATTATTAATTACACTACCCTTTTTGTTATTTTTCTTGATAGCATAATTGTTTATATGGATATATTTTAGTTGATTGGATACTAGATTGGCATAAAGCTATAAGGCATCCACAATATAATTATGTTAACATGTTTCCAGTACAAATAACAATTATTGATTAGAAAAATATCAACCAGATTCTGGAAATTGGAAAACAAAATGCTATTAAGTTTTATTATATTTTAGATTCTGAGAGGAGAGATTGTTTGATTTGTTTTTTTTGTGTCTGTGTGCACGACGAGTAGTCAAAAAAGTAATGCTTCGATTTATACTTCAGTATTTATTTAAGTGGGAAATTGAATCTAGTTGGTTCATTTGTGAGGTCAAAATTTTTAAAATTTCCTTTGGGAAAAAAAATATTAAGAAAAAACTGGAATTTAAGGTAGGTTTTTAACAAAATCAATTTGACAAAAATGACAGTAGATACATGAAATTTTCATTTAATATCTTAATGTTTATATTAGAATTTCCTATACACCATAAAACTTTTAAAGTATTTTGAATTATTTTTAGTTAAATACTCTTATAGGTACAAGAAATTTCCGATTTTTATAAGTTTTATTTTAATTAATGCCGATAAAAAATGTTTCCCTCAATCAACAAACATCAAAATGTAATACAAGGTTCCTCATAAGTTGTAAGTGGAAGGTATATATTTGCAGAAAATCTACATTCAGATGTTTGCTTAAATAACTGTATTGCTTAACCTTTTTTCTTCGGTATGACATTATTAAAAGATTGACTTAACTAATTATATGTTTATCGTGTTTCAGATTGGTTTATTGTATTTACCTATTCCATGTAATTAATTTAAATTAATTTTCAAATAATTGGTTGTATTTTTAAGGCAATTGGACAAAGTGGGGGGGGGGGACGCTGGAACTTCATATATATAAGCGAGATCATAACTTTTTATCTTGTTTGTCTTAAAATTAAGGTCATATTGACACCAATAATTTTAACCGATTTTCACTTACGATCATTCAATTAATTTTTAACCTTATTTCAACAAACCTAGCACTGTCCCAACACTCATTTTTTACTATATTTTTTAATATAGTATCCCAACGTGTATCCAAAGAACGGTCATTTAGTTGAAACACAACTAAACATTCTTGCCATTTGTCTGTATCCTCATTGACTCCATTCCAATCATATGATATAACAGTACCTCTTGACGTTGTCACTCCAATATGTAAATCATCCATTAGTTGGTAATTACTAGTAAAAATGTAAGATAGGATTTTTTTGAATTATGAATATGTCAAATTAAATAACGATATTAAGTACACTCACTTTAAAAAATCATCTCGAGTTGGTTTCACAATAACAGAGCATGATTGCTGAGATGCTCTTACAAAAGGATAAGGAACTCTTAAAATAAAAAACAAATATACTTAAAAATGTATTTATTTTAAACTTGTTCTAAAAAATTGTTTTTCATTGACATAGATTTGTACAACAGACTAAACGTAGAATATTTAGATTATTTAAGTCATTTTTAGTTTTAAACTTTAACATAAAACTGTACAGAACCATTGCTGAATCTCATAAACTTCATTCTTTTATCCTTTTATTCATTTGTTATAAAATTATGATAAATACCGTGACACACAATTTAATATTTTTTCCCTACAAGGTATATTATTTTTATGTTTTACTATGTCCTCTTAATAAGTAACCATGACAAAGAAAAACTTACAATATATCGATCAGAAACATTTTATCTTGTGTCCAGCCCAAAAACATATTTAATGTTAAATATTATTATGTTAAATCTCCATCAAGTAGAGTGAGGATAGAAAGTATTTTTTATGAATAACCAAGTACATTTAAGTGGCAAGTAGAAAATTTTTTTTGGGCAAGACCTAGAAATACCTCCATCTCCCTTTTGGTTAAATCAGAAGTTATTTTATTTTTATTTTTACTCATTACAACTGAAATTATCATTCAATTATATACAAGTAGCTATAAATACCTAGTTTGAATAGTACCGCTTAATTGTAGCTATTAGACTAATAGTGCAATAATTATTTTTCATTCCATACTTGTTTTAATGCTCTGTTGTACTCAATCATTCTCAGACTACAGAAATTATTAAACCCAAACATAATAAAAATGTTAAGCTGTAGAATGTGCCCATATGTGAACTAAATAGGTTAGAAGCATAATACAACTGTTAGCTTGTTATTTATATCATGGACCATGGCTAGAAGTATCTAGTAGTACACTATAGGTGTAGTATAATGGTTAAATTATAGTTTTTATAGTTTAAGTTAAATGTAATACAGTAATCACCACTTATTGGACTCATTCGCCAATAGGGCTCAAACAGGTTGGTCTCAATTGTATTCTTACACATAGGAAAAAATTGTTCTATTGTACTCACATACCGGTTAATGGTCAAAGTATATTTTTAAGAATATTTTCTTAATTTTTAGTCCACCTTCACGATTGAATCGATAATATTTTGACGATTAACACTATTGCTTCAACTTGTCAAATAGAAAAGTATGAAAGATTTGAAAATATTTTTATACATTCAAAGTCATTGTTTACGAAATAATATTTAATCGTTACCATTTTTCATGTTTTTGTCCTTCATGAATAACACCATACATTTGAAGTACATAAATAAATAAATCCATGATTTGAATCTTTGTCAATACATGGCCAAATTGAAGTTTTTATTAAAATGCATGTGTATTTATTTTAATTCTTGGATATTTCAAATTATTGACAATTAACTGTCACATTGTTATGTCATATTACCACTGTATAATACTTAACACAAAAGTATAATTATAGTACTTTTATATGACAAGGATTTAATTTAAAATCTAATACTATATAAACCATACACTTATCAGTATCTGAAATTTTATTTTTAACAATATATCCATATTTTTAATATAATTATTATTCAGTTCAACAAATCACTTCTATAAGTATGTAATATAAATTTATTTTAAGAATCTTGTTAAACTAACTTAAAAATTATATTTATAAGTCTATAAGAGCATATTAAGAGTTAGGTCTTGGTGAAATAACGCTACATAACAAAATATTTGGTCCATTACTTAAACAAATTTTTAATTTATAGGTTTAGATTTTATCGACATTAAAAATACTAGAATGTGAAAAATTAAAATGTTGAATAGTTTACCTGATTGGAATGCTCTGCAAATTTTTTAAACATATTTTGCAAATAGGACAATTAGTTGGAATGTTTATACAGTATATGTTCTTATGGCTACAATGTTGAAAGCTAATTATACCTGAATCATTATTCATAACAGTTGGTTGAATTGTACAATCTGCAACAAAAAGTTTGCAATAAAAATATTGTAACTGACAACTATTTTATAGGTTTATCAATAAATAAATGAATGTATAGAAATATTTCAGCACAAAAGGAAGAATTTAGATTTGAACTCGTCTACAAAAACTATATTTACATAGGTGTTATAAATTGGCAATAAATCCATTTTTATTTTAAAACTGTATTATAAGATAATATTGGTGAATTTTAAATGAATGTTAGCATCAATGAAAACCACTTCTATCGGCATTTTTACAGAGACTTTAATAGTAGATATGAATAATAATATGTACCTACCTAGTAATAAGTAATAAGAGTGAAAACAAATACTTAACCGATTCAAAATATGTTAAGAACCTTATTAACATAAACAATTAACATGGTTATTACATTTTTTTTTCATTCATCATCTATAATATCATGATTATTGTTTTTATGTTCAAACAAAAATTATTAAACCTTAAATAGCATTCTACATACTTAAAGTATACATAATGACCACAAAGCATATAAATTATTATACAAAGATAACTAACTAAAATAATAATGTCATTAACAAGCGATGATAAAAATGAATGAACTAATTAATTTTAAATAATATTTATTATCTACATGGAATCATATAATATTTTGATGCATAGGTGTAGCATTAAGAAACCTCATCAATTCACATTTTAAAAATGCTAGTAACTACTAGTATCTTAGTAACCAAAACAAATTTGTCGTATAGGTGGTAGTGATAAAAAATAAAGCCATTAAATTATTTAAGGATAAAAAAATCAGTGACTGTTCTTTAAGTTAAGAAAATAATTCAAATTGTATGATTAAATTTCAACTTAAAAATTCCAACTATAACTTTAATTACTTTCAAAGCTTTAATAAAGTAAAATCGCATGATTACTGATTAGATATTTTTATTTTACCAATTTCGAGATAATGTGATGGTGCCAACCAGTATACAGTCAATAATATAATATATGCCAATTTTAATAAAAACTAATAGAAACCTAAGTAACAATTAAGATTTACTTCAACTTCAAAATTGTAAATTACCTACAAAATTACACTGATATACTATTTTGATATGTGATGATTGATAACATAATGCAACATGTTGATTAGATAGTCATAATGATAAGCAATATTGACATTTCGTCTTATGATATAAAATGAACTACATAGGCATTAATGTAGATTAGATAGACATAATATTATTAGACCTTCAATTGCAATTTGACGTAACAAAAATAATATTTGTTAAATTACTAATTGAGACGTTCATATACAGTTTAAAGTGAATCTAGTTTGTGCCTTCGCTAGGTCAAAATTTAAATTTCTATATAGTTTTAAAAAGCGACAAGAAAAACAAACATACAATTGAGGAAAAATGGGAATTTTTAAGTAAAATCAGTTTTCGAAAAAATCGATTTTGGTTTTTAGTGTAATTCCAGACCGTAAATACATGCAATTTTCACTGAACGATGATTGTTTTACCATATTCTATTCACCATACAATTTTCAAAATATTTTGTATCGTATTGAACTATTTATAGGCATATGAAATTTTCGATTTTTATTGTTTCTTTACACTAATATCAATAAAAAATTTTTCTCTCGGTCAAAAAACTTGAAAATGTAGTACAAGATTCCTCGTAATGGAAATTAAAAAAAAAAATTGAGTGAAAATCCACAAAAATTTTTTTCGTACGTTTGAATTTATAATTTTGACAAAATTCGTAAAAATCAAAAAAAAAATCAGCAAGTTATTTTGTGTAGAAATTCATAGAAATTTTTATTTTTTTATCTAAGAGTTAAAAATTGAAGACAATATTCCTTATAAGGTTGTTTACCTTTACCGGAAAAAAATTTCTATCGGAAAGTCAAATTAAATTGTTATGAATGATTTAAATTGAAATTTTTACAAGATAATTCAATGTTATTGGTGAATATGATATTCATTCGATTTCTCATGTAGAGATTTTCTTATTTTGTAGGAATTCAAAAACGAATAACTGTAGACACTTGAAATTTACACCATATTTGTATTTGATCAATTCATATACTTCATGAATTTTTCAAAATATTTTGACTTGTTTTAATCTGTTGATGGACATTTTCAATTTTCAAATTTTTATTTTTTTAAATGTCAATAAAATTGTATTTGTTAGGTAAAAAAGAGTGGAAATTGAATACAAGGTTCCTGATATATTGTTTCAATATCTGTTGAAAATATTAAAAAGTCATAGGCACGATTTTTTTATAAGCATTTAGAGTTCAAATGTTGACAACATTAATCAAATTGTAAATTGAAAAATGATTTTGTAGTTAAAAATGTATAAAATTATCAATTTATATTGCTAAGGATTGAACATTTAAAACATGGTTTCACGTAAGCAGTTTTTTCCGCTACTAAATTTTAAAAAATATTAAAAATATATTCAGTTCATTTTGTATACAGTTATTTTTTACAGACATTAAAAGTTCAAATTTGGACAAAATCACAGAATATCACAAATAATGACGATATTTGTCATTTAAAATTTAATAATACACTCTTTAGACTTAATTGTCGAGCTAACATTTTTTATTAAGGCTAATAAATAATAAAAACAAAAAATACACTTCTTAAACATTTATAAATCGAGAGTTCCTGGAGGTGTCCTTATGAACTATTCTTAACATAGAAAAAGTATCAACATTTACCAAATTTACGAATATTTTACATTTCTAAATTAAACGTTACGGCGTAACTGGTTTTTACTGATAATAGAATGCCTACTAGGTGTCGAAATATCTAATATTCATCTAAATAATCTAATTTATGGCTAAAAATAAATTACAATCAAACTCGACAACCATGGATGCTTCGAGGTAGGTCGGTATCAAAGTCGAATAATAATAATAATAATAATAATAATAATAAACAATTCTTATATTTATTTAATTAAGCCAAAAAAAAAAAAACAATTAATTTTATCTAAATATCCAAGCGAACGTGTTACCTACATGAGTTATTGGTAAAAAAAACTTTTTTTTATTTTTGCAACTTCGAGACGCTACCTCTTATTATAAGTACCTATACTCCGACATAGCCTACAAGCGACAGTGATCTGAAGATGGAGTCATGGAGATGATGGCTAAATCAGAAAACTGATTTTATATATTAAGATTGTGTGTTTATATAATAGATCAGGTTTAAGCATGCATCAAATTGAATTTTCTTACACATTGCCTACTAAGTGGCTGAGTTGCACTTACAGCCGCTCGTTAACGTGTTCACAATCAAAATAAAACTTATTATTCATATAGAGTATAAAGTATCCACCGCAGGTAGATTGTCCACTTGATAATATACTGCTCGCATTATTACAATCCAGTCTCATACTCTCACATAGGGTTGGAATTTTTAACGTTCAACCAAGTGCACGGGATCACCTAGTATAATTTATTATACATATCTCAATATCTGTTAGGCCCGAGCCTGATCTAACCCACGCACAACATAGTCATAACGCATTCACGCAAAATCATTTTATTTTAAATATTTTTTGAGTAATCTTAGAACACAATCATCCGTTACAACAATTATTGAGAATAATATTTTTTTTTTTTAATATCGTTTAGTTTCAATAGTCTCCCAAAACAATTTAATATTCATTTCAACTAATACACTTTTATTTTAACTTTTAAAATCGAATTTAAATCAAAATATAAAACCGATATAAACACTCAAAAATATTAACGTCAATAATTTTTTACATTTGTTATATGTGATTTTAATCTAAAATTGCTCAAAAATCAAGAAGATACGATGATATGTGTTTGTCGTGAATGCGTTTTATCTATGTTGCATGTAGGCCTGAGAAAAATTTTTTTTAAGTCTTTTCCTAATTTTTCTCCGTTATAGAAATAGCATGTTTGAATCACTATTCACTAGGTCGTTTTCTTGTAAGTAATATGTAATATTAAGAGAAGGAACACAGATATTTTTTATAACATTAATATAGGATTTTGTAGATTTATTCTCCGATTTAAATGAAGGCTTTAGAAAAAAAACAAATAAGTTCTAAAAAATTCGATTATATATCCGCCTATGAATAATAGTAATAATAATATAATATATTAAATAACCTAGGGACCTAGGAATAACCATTTATACGTAATCATATTAGATAACCGTATTATTTTATACAAAACTTTTATTAGTAATAACAACTGTACAACGAGCCGGCGAGGAGTTTGCGCGGCGAAACACCGAGGTGTTAGGTTAGACGGGGATACGATGGTATACAGGAGGGGACGCGGGGTGCACGCGAAAATCGCATGTTTTTGTTTTTCGTCCGAGCAGCAGCGAGCCGCAAAGAATACGGTGGACGGAGCGAAACAGTTGTTGGTGTTTTTAGCAAAAAGGGTCGTCCGGGACACAATCATCATCATCATCTCGTAGTCGTCGTTGTCGTCGTCGTCGTCGGCGCGCGCGCGCGCGAGCACGCTCGATCCCTCTTTAATCGCCGTCGGAGACCGGAGTGTCGGACCGCGCTGGCCGTCACCCCCCCGCCAGCCAGCCGGGACGACAGTACGACACCGGTATGCGCACCACTTAAATTGTATTATTTGTATTACTGAACGTATTACGTCTGCGCGCGACCGAACGACCAGAGTGGTGTGCCACCGTGTGCGTGTCGTCGGAGCTCAGAAGCTGGAGGATGGACAGGCGGGGAGTAGGCGAGTAAGCGAGCGGGTGAGCGGGTGAGCGGGCGACCTTCGACGGCGTGTACGGTTTTCCGTTGTTGGGTATTTTTATTATTATTATTATTTTTTTTTATTATTTATCGTTATCGTTTCAAGGGAGAAAAGGGGGAAAAAGAGATAAATACCCGAGCGCTTGCCGCGACGACGCTCTGAACTATGTTACACTGCTCTATCCGACGACTCGACATGACGACGACGATGATAATAAAAAAAACTATCCCTTATCTCTCCGTCTCTCTCTCGGCGTTCGCCGTACATGTCGTCCGGTCGTCGGTGTTGTTGTTATTATTATTATCATCATCGTTAGTCGTTACCGCACGACGATGACGGTACTATTGATGTAATTACTATTATTGTTGTTGCTGTTCCGCATGCACGCGCGCAACGCATCGCCGCCGCGCGATCTCCGTCTTGCCGGCACATCGTTCGTCCGACGGCGTTTCGCCCGGTGAACGTGCGCTTGCCCAATTCGCCGGATCCGGCTCGTCCGTCTGACCGCATGCCCCAGACTCCGAGGACGTGCCAATCGTGGTTGACAAGTGTGGCCTGTGAGTATGCGATATGGCCTGTGAGTCGTTGTAACTACTGATGTCTCTGTACGGTACCGTGCGGCAGTCTTATATCGTTATATGGATTGTGATCTTGATACGTTGAACAAACTAAATATGCTGTTGAGAACATGGCTTTTGCTGGTTAGGTCTATGTGACTCATTGAACCCAAGACAATTATTTTGGTCCTACCCCGACATCCTATCCCGAATAGGTTAGCCTGGCAACAAATTACCATTATGTCAGTGTAGGTATTGATTGTTGAACTGATATAGTTCAAATTTCTCAAACAAACATTTATTATTCAACAAAATATGTAATTAATGTTAAGGTATCTTAATTTAAAGAGTTACATAACAATAATCATATCGTTAGTTGTTCCAGTTGACAAGTTCTAGTGACTTGTCAACTAATTTATTTGCTTCAGTTAATGGTATCAAATAAATTATTAACTTGTAGTAGTATTGATTTACATATTTTAATTTCATTATAAAGAAGTTATAGAAACATAATACATTAGATTTTATGATTTAATTTCTTTATGAATTTGAATATTTCATTTTGGCTAAAATAGGTAGATGAATTTTTGTTGTTCTGATCCATTGCGTATTATTGTTACATAATGATGTAACTTAAATAAATTATTATATTTTTAAGGCTTGACATTTGTAGGTACCTACACACTTTGCATCGTGCAAGTTTCAAGTTACAATATAGTTGATCCTTTAATCTTCTAAATTGTTAACAATGTAATACATTTTAAAAGGATGTTATTTAAGGGTGTAATATTTGACTATTTGAGCTAAATTTTATTCAATGGCAATATTATAATGTATTTCTTGGGCTTATATCAAAAAACAAAACACCATGCCACAGATATTGTCTTATATTATCTGGTACATAGTGCTTTATACTCATTAATCATCAACTATCTATTTCCATTTAACTGAAAAATACAAAAGTGATCATAATTAATCTTTATTATAGGGATTTAAATTAGAATAATTCATGGATAATTTTGTATTTGAAAAATGTACTTATTTAAGTTTTTTAATTTGTAGGTTTTCAATTTATAATAATGGAAGAAGAAAACAAGTGTAAAGCTTAATAATGGTTTCATACTCAGATAGTGTAACATCTAATTTAACGGCGATCGCCAATAATAATATTCAACAAACCGATCAAGCGATATTTGAAGCTGATAAGCGAGCTGTTTATAAGTAATTTTTGAGCTTATGTTTTGAATTATCTGTATATTTTTTTTTTCATAAAATTATCGTTTTTCAGGCATCCTCTTTTTCCCTTACTAGCATTACTTTTTGAAAGATGTGAACAAGCTACTCAATCAGCAGCAATTTCAAACTCCGAAAGTTTTAATATGGACATACAAGCCTTTGTCCAACATCAAGAAAGAGATAGAAAACCATTTTTAATTAATGATACAGAAATTGATGGACTGGTATGTGTATTAATTTGTTTTAAATAAAAATTCTTAACTTACAATACAGTTTTTTGAAAATGAATGTCGAGTTTCATATCACACTAGATTTGGTTTTAGCTTATACATATTTTTACAGTAATATGAACAATAGGTATTATATTTATTTTCATAGCATGTTTATAAAATTAAGTTAAATTTTTTTCAGATGATAAAAGCTATTCAAGTATTACGAATACATTTATTAGAACTAGAGAAAGTTCAAGAATTGTGCAAAGATTTTTGTAGTAGATACATAACATGTCTCAAAATCAAAATGCAAAGTGAAAATTTATTGCGTTCCGATTACACATCTGGTTACTTAGAAAATAATAGCAGTGGTAACTCAAGTAATAGTAATTCTCCATTATGCCACTCTCCACACCATAGTCAGGTAAACATAATTGTTATTTATAGAGGGGGTTCCGAATCTGGTATCAATATTAGTCTTACATACATTGTTATTGACTCATTAAATAGATTTTACTATCATAATTGTATTTTATGAAAAACTTACTAATACTCATAACTTGGAAACTTTAGTATTTGACAACTAGTTAATTTTTATATTGTATTGCTTATGTGTCAGTTTCAAAATCAGTTATGGTAGCTTAAGAATAAATGATTGATTGAATTATTATCAATTAGAAATATTTAAAAATAATTTCTTATTTCTTAAATAATTATTTACACGTATTTTGAGTGTGTTAAATAATATTATAATCTGAAGTATATCTACTAGATATTCTTAGTAGACACTTGTATATAGCTGTGAATTGAAATACAGTTGATTTAATCATCAAATAATAATTATTAATTTAAGTCAGTAACCATAATAGTTAGTATTGGTTTATTATTTTGGGCTTGGAAATAAATAGATCATTAATATTTTTATACTTAAAAAATAAATAAGTCAAATCGATTATTTTCCAAACACTTAGAATTATTTACTAATCAGGATATTCTAATTCATCGTAACATTAACATTTTAAATTTATACTTGTTTATTTTGAACATTTCAAATTTAATAAACGTCCTGTGTACTTAAAGTGACCATGTGTCCCTTTTGAACGGGACAGTCGTGTTTTTTATATTTCTGTCCCATTGTCCCCTGGGGAATCTTCGGGACATTAAATTGTCCCAGTTTTAAAGGTAGACCAAAAAATAACGATTATTTATATATCATTATACTGGCCGTACATAGTCGATAATGACCGTAAACAACATTGGAATTTATGTCCCGGGCTAAATAATAACAATTAAAATGACGTTATCTGATGTATTATATATTTTTATATCTAATTATTCTTAAATTAACAAAAATGTTGCTTATTATAAAAATAAGTTACTCATTAATACATGTAATAAATAAATAAAATTTGTGTGTCATCTATAAATAAAACACTACATAATTTTGATCATGATTAATAAAAGAATAATAATTTGTTTTTTTTTGTCCCGTTCTGAATAAAAAAATATATGGTCACCTTAAGTATATGCAAATTAATTGACAATTACACACGTTATTCCTATCAACGATGTCTCACTACAGTAGACAATAATATTCTACTAATTGTCTATTTACTAATTCAGACCCATGCTTAAATTGTTGTATGTATAATAACACTGTATATATACATATAGTTAAGCATTTATTTGTGTATAAGTTAGCGTAATAGTTGGTAAAATAATTTTATCTGGTCTTGTATGTAGCATGTCGCATTAGTAACTATGTATATATTAATAAATGTATATATGTCCATGTCTGGGTAAACTTAAAGTATGTTTTTATTTTACATTTATTTTATTCATTAGTTTATTATGGTACATTAGGTTTAGGTTTATAATGATGTTTGACAGGTGATATCCTCTTCAGGAGTTTCTGTGCGGCAGTCTGGAGACAACGATGCTATAAAACCAAAGACAATAATGGATTTAAAAAACATAACTAGTCTTTTGTCGAATATACCATCTTCCACATCTATAGAAATGAAAGATGTATCTCAAGTATCAGATGTTTCCCAACTTGATTTGACAGTCACTAAATCTGCTATTCAAAATTCTTCTGTAGAAAAAACACCATTATCAGCCATCGGTACAAATGTATTACAGAGTAATGTTTCTATTTTACATGGTACGTAAATATACTTGAATTTTTTTTTTTTGATTTATGAATTTAACTGTCAATTTTTATGCTTTATCATTCTTTAAGTACCACAGTTACATTAATTAGTTTTAGCTATTTTTACTGCATTTCAATAACAGTTAATGCATTTTGTGTATAACACATTATGTGCTTTATCATAATCGTTCATAATAATAATTCTATACATAGAACATAATTATCATAAGTATCCGAATATTTCAAGATTAAAAAAGTTGAACGTAAAAGATTTAAAAGTATTATTTTTTTGTCACTTTTTAAGAACGAAATAAATATTTAAGCAAAAACCTTTTTTTTTACTAAACTTTTGGTCAGATATTTGAATTACACAGCTTACAGAATTTTCGTTGTAGAAATATGTAATAGGTTAGGTAATTTAGTAATAAGTATATTACACTTATGTGTTGGAAATATATTAGGTTTAAATATATTTATATTTTTAGGTTCCTTATCAGCTACCAGTGGTGGCTCTTGTGACGAAGAAGATGACTATTTTGGAAGTAAAAAGAAAAGGCAACAAAAAAGAGGAATTCTCCCTAAACAGGCTACAAGTGTAATGCGCTCTTGGCTTTTTCAACATTTAATTGTAAGGAATTATTATATATTTTTGTCTTAAATTATAACTTTTAAAAATATTTTTGCTTTTAACACAGTTAATTATTTATTAATTACTCCATGTACTATTTATTACTATGTGCAAAAATACCTTGATACCTTATGCAAAAAAAAAGTAATTTGTTTTTTATTCATTTTTTATACATAATATCTTAAATATTACTTTTTTAGACATTTAAATTAATATTTTACTGTTTAATAATTTATAACATAAAATTATTATTATTTATACTACAAATTACTCATTAATTATAATAAATGTGGTGTTTAAAATATTTGCTAATTAATTCAAATTAAAAAAAAATCATTTCAATAAATAAAATTTATTGATTTTCAGCATCCGTACCCTACGGAAGATGAAAAAAAAATTATCGCGGCACAGACTAATTTAACATTGTTGCAAGTAAATAATTGGTTTATCAATGCACGGAGACGAATATTACAACCAATGCTTGATGCTTCCACACCTGATATTGCCGGTATTTTTATTTTCATTATTATAAGTAATAACTGTACAACCAAATTTAATTAGTAATCTATATGTATGTTTTAAAATACAGGTGAACAAAACTTTTCTCTTTCTAAAGATAAGTCTGTAATTGTTGATAATAATAAGTTTTCATGGCCTGTTGACAGTTTATTACCATCTCAAAATGTCAATGGTAAATACTATCATAAATATCTCAAATAAGTGTATATATTGTATGTATATATGAAGGTGGGTGTTTGTGTTTCTCATGTTTTTATATGAATGGGTGTGTTTATATCTATCTAGTGGAAATATAAGATTAATGATGATATATAAAGATTTTGGACAATTATGTTGATGTTAATAATCTAGACTGTATAAATTTGCTTTTTAAGAAAATACCGAACTCACATTCAACAAATTATATTTAAGTTTAGCAGTTAAAATTTTGCATTGTTAGCTTTAATATTAAAGTGGCCTGTTATCAAACTTGAAGGTATTTGATCCCTCTAAATCATGTAAAGGTTAAAATAAAAATATAACAATTAAATTTGTCACATTAAAATTATTGTAGGAAAAAATCGAAAAAATGTTGGATAGTTGATAGTTGATTTGTACGTGTAGACTGGGACAGATTCACCACTTTCAATTTCATTAATATCAGTATTTTCACTGTTCACCTGTTAATTTTTATTCCAGTATGGCCAAGAAGTTAGTTTACTATATAAAATAGTCATCATTAGAATTTAAGAAACTTTTTTCTCCTTCCCCCCCCCTTTTAATGGACACATTAGAATATACACATCATAGAATCAATGGTATTGATGAACAATGAGGCAATCAGGGGGAGAAGCACTAGTGCACCAAAATCCCACTTGGCTAGGGTGATATCCTCTGAATACTCCTATTATACAGTGAAAACTGTCTAAAGCGGAATAGCATGGGACCAAAAAAAAATTCCGCTTTATTCAATAAAATGGAAAAATTCCGGATTATTCAATTTCAATAAATACCAAAGAATATTTTTCGAATTATTGTTTTAAATAATGTAATTCATTAAAATTAAACTAAAATATAGGTTTTATAATTTATTAAATTATTAAACTAAAATAACCTTTTAACCATTCTTCTTTAATTCTATTTTGATTTTTAAGAGTATCGTAAACCTGAGTTTTTCCACAATTAAATATATTTTGTAATTGTCTTACTGAATGACCTTTTGTGTATCGTTCAGCTAATATTTTTCATTTAATGAAAGACACTTATATTTTGGCATTTTAATATTTAATGCGATGAACGGGAGATGAAATAAAATTAAAAGTGTACGTACGACTGTTTCACAGTTACAAAGAAAAAATGTTGTATCATTTAAGATGCGATAATACATAATAATAATGTGATAATGCATTGTATGTATAATGTACATAATATATTGTACGAATATGTACTCATGGAATAATTTTTAAGTGAATTTTATCTTCTTTGTCTATCACTATTTAACGATGTACATTTTACATACGCATATCGACATATCTATATTTCATACCTTATTTTTGGTTTAGATTTGACACGCAAGTGTTATTTTTCCGGTTTATGCATGGCTTTTACTTGTATGGGACTTACGAAATCGTTGCGTTTACGTGTTTTGAAGGTTCCGTTTTATTGAGGTCGAGCGTCTATATAAAACTATGAACGTGCCGTGACCATAGAAAAATTCCGTATTTTATAGTTTTCCATATTATTCAGGGTCCGCTTTTGACAGTTTTCACTGTATTAATATATTTTAACTTGAAGAATTTATTAATAATTATATCAACTTCCATTAAAATATTATTAATATTTAAATGCAACATTTTCTTACATTTTTTTTGATTGACAGTAACATATTATGTTACTTAATCATTCAAAAGAGATGATGTGAATTCTTGAATGTATGTAACTTCAATTTGTTTTCATTAAAAAGGGTTATTTAAAATTATTCCTGGTGTAAATTGATGTGTGCACTGTAATTATATGGATTAATGTTTATATTATAATTGAACAGTGGAGTTATTGAGCTTCAAAATAACATTGTCTTAAACATTAAACATAATAATAATCAATATACTTTATTATTGGACACCGATAGATTTCTGGATTGTTTTGAAGTTAATTGATACACTTATTTAAAATTTAAAACTACCATATTATTTTATGTAATAGTGACAATATTTAATTTTAGAAAATTCAAATGAATCAAATTTTGGTGAAAGTGAAGCAGAGGAAGAAGAAGAAGAAGAAGAAGAGGAAGAAATTAGTGATATTTTTTCTCAGCATAGTGTTAATGAATCAGATTAGTCAGTGTCTTATGAATAATTTTAAATGTTGTATAATGTACATGACATAGAAATTTTTTTATATGCATATGTATAATGAATATATACTATATACTATATACTATATATTATACCATATACGGTTGAGTATATGGTGAAATTAATAATTTAATGTTGGATCCATTAAATATGTCTTACGTATTAGACCAGAGGTTCCCAAACTTTTCACGGTGCGACTTATTTTTGGAAAAATTTTAAATGTTGACAACCCACAACCCTATACTAATGACATTTTATTTTTCATTAATAATCAATATTTTTGAGAATATTTATAGTTTAACAGCATCGTTTTGACTCATTAGTGAAACACTTATAATTGTTGTGGATGGTATTCAATGATAAAACTATTTTCAAACACCAATGAAAGATTTAGTTACACAGGATATGTTCATATTTATTTTGATTTATACATATTATTTCTTCTCTTTTTATATTTATATATTCTAAAAAATATCTAATAACAAATATTTTATATTATACAGTTAATGTATAAATATTCCAAAACTTAATATAATCTATCATTATTATAATTGTTTTTGAATCGCAACCCATAGTATGGAAATCTCTGCATTAGACAATGTGAGATAAATGACTAAAACTTTTATATTATACTTCAAAATCTTTATAATTTATTGAAAACATATTGATACATTTCATAAATTGTATTAAATGATTAAAAGTACTTAAGTGGATTATAACTGTCAAATGATCCGATGAAGTGTGTTTATATGAAATTAATTAATGTTCCAAGCCTTTATAAGTATTATAAGTAATAATAACTAATCATTGACTGTAAAAACAATTTGTACAAAAGTAAATGTTATTTAGAATAACAATTGATTGAGGTTTAACTAGAATTTTTGCGTCATTTAAAAAAGTTATAGAAATATAATATTATTATTAAATGCTAATGATTTAAAAATTAAATCTATTATTGTACTTTTATTTGTATCTTGAGGACTTGTCCATCCCTAAAGTATTTTAATATTAATTTACTAAGCTGGTTGATACAAAATTGTTTATTTTTAGAAATGTTTTCCTTTTTACATAAAAACATGATTATAGAAATAATAACACTACTTTTATAAAAAATTGACCATCAAGGATACTTATTAAAATAATTATTTATAGTAAAATCACGTCAGTTTTCCTCAACCAACATTTTAAAGCTTTAAAATAAATGTTAAAAACCATAATAAAACTGTAGTGGGGGGAAATTCCTGTATTTACTTAATTTGTTATTTATATTAAATATATATAAAATAAATTCTTATTTCATAAGTGTAATTGCTTACATTTGTAAATTTAAAACTTTTTTTTGGTTTAACTCTTTCATTACCTAATTTTACATTTTTTTGAAACATTGTTTGTATCATAAGTACTCAATTATTTTTAGGATTAACTTATTTTTTTACTCTCATTCTTGTCTTATATTATATAGCATTATGAACAAATTAATTATATTTTAGAAAAAGTCTTCATAATTATTGCAATAAATACTGTTCAATGAATCTTCCTTCAGTATAATATGTAATCTTTTGTGGCATTTTAATGATTTTAGATTTGAGGCAATTTATTATAAACAAAAATATTGTGTTATTTATTTATTTAATTGATTTTTTTTTCAATTATAAACTGCCCGCTGTATGTTTATATACTACATACATGTCTTTAAATTTTACAAATATTTTACATATTCTTGAAAAATGTTTGTGTGACTCCTTTTGAAAAATGTAACCCGACGGCCAAAACGTAACTTAATTATCATACTGCAATCATAAACTATTTTCTTGGTTTCTAAAATTCATCCTAATTTATTATTATATTTTTTTCATTAAAATAATTGTAGATATTGTGAAATCAACTATATTCATATTATGTATTTTATGTTTGAAATAATACAATATTATATGTATGTCATTTAAAACTATTTTTGCTTATTGTTTTATGTAAAATAAATCGTAAAATTGAGTGATAATAAAATGTAATTATGTTGCTTTGAATTGTAGTATGATGGATTGCGATACGTAAGGTGAGTAGATCAATAAAAAAAACTTCATAAAATAATTATTCTATGAAAATTAAAATTTTTAATTTTATCATATTAATATTTTATGTATTATAATTTAATAAATTAAGATTTTTAAATTAACAATCAATTATAATATCAGTAGGCCGGAGATACAGGACACCATTTCACAAAATAGTAATTTTAGAGGAAGTCAAATTTTTGATTACCTTTATCGCTAAAGAAAATGGACATGGTTTTATTTTCCATTTCCTTATTTCTGTTACTTTTGATAACTGGACATAGTGCCTTATACCTTAATGTAGAGCAAAAACTGTACAACCAGGACATGAAGCTAACTAAATTTCTTCAAAAATGGCCTTGATGTCCTTTACCCCCGGTTTACAGATATGAACTTGATTTTGTTAGTTTAAAAATGTGTTTGAACTTGTTAAATAGCTTCAATATTTTCTACTTTCATTCAGTTCCCTTCATGTGTGCATTAAACGTTAATATTGAAAACAATGCTCTACATTTGCGTTTAGAGTTGGAATAGCAAACATATATTGTCAAAGCTTAAGTAATTCACAATACTGTTAAAAAATGTCACATTTTTAAAAAAATCAATCCTTTTCTCATAACTAGGGCTTTGGACTTATTTTAACATTTAAAATCATTAAAATAAGCGCCTGAAAATATCATTATTTAAGCGCATTCAAATAAGCAAAAAAATTTATTACAAAAAAAAACTAAAAAATTCTAACTATGAAATAAAAAAAAACAATAAATAAATCTTTATCTTCATATTACAAAAAAATTCAACTTTATTTTTGAGACTTTAAGGATTTTATGTATTTTCCAATGGATTTTCTGAAAAATAAAATGTTAACAATATTATATATAAATAGTTGAAAAATAAATAAATAAATAAAATCTCACCGTCATTATTGCATTGGATGGTGAAATGTTTTCTGAGGTTTTCATATAGAAATGACCCTTCTGTTGTTCGGTAATATTGTTTTATACTCTGAAAATGACCGTTCGACATTTACTGAAGTAATTATCTTGTAACTATTTTAAGTACTCAATATCATTGCTGTAGTCTTCTGGAAATTCACTGAAGTCATCTAAATTACTGTCAATTTCACTGTTTAGTATTTTTGATATTTTTTCTAAAACCCTTAAGCCATTATTTATTGAAAAACTTTTTGCAGTTTAATTAAAACTAGTTTTCCGTGATTTATTTTTAACAGAAGCACTTTCAAATTTCATAATTGAATGTGTTATAACATGACGCCGTGACGTATTTACGGGGGGGGGATTTGGGGGGATCAATTCCCCCCTTGGTATTTTTTTCTATTATTAAAGAATTTACCTACATACATAGGCACTAAATTGTGTTTAGTATTTACTATCTTATTGTATTTTTCATTTTTTGCAAATAAAGTAGAAAAAAATCAGTTAAATGGTTATTAATAGCCTGTTATTACGCCACTGAAACCGCCATGTCGTAGCTAGTGCTTCGGTATAAATGTACTAAAAGAGGATGCACTGCCAATTTAAAAGTATTGGAAAATGAAGATATCGTGTGGACATCATGCAATGTAGAACATAACCACGATGCGGACGAAGAAAATAAAATTGAACGTCAAATAATAAGCAATAACTTGAAACGTAAGGCCACTGAAAATATGTGTGAACGCCCTTCGAAGTTATTACATTCATATTTACGGGAGAATAATACAAATGCAATTACAACTAATGTGACATATATAAAACACATTATATTTCAAGCTCGAGCATTTTTACTACCAAATTTGCCTCGCAGTAAACAAGAGGTGCATGATATTTTGAAAGACATGGACGTAAAAACGTATGAAGGTAATACATTTTTACAATTTAATAATGCGGAAAAAGGGATTTTATTATTCAGTACGGATGAAAATTTAAAGTTTCTTAGTCAATCAACCACATTTTACGTTGATGGAACATTTTCGTACTGTGCACAGTTTTTTTTAACAATTTTTCACAATTCATGTAATAAAAAACAATCATTATGTACCTTTAGTTTTCACTTAACTGAAAGACAAAAAACAAGAATCATATGTCGATATTTTTCGAATTATTGATAATTATTGTGTAACTTACAATAATATGTTTGATTTAGAAAGGATTTATGTCGATTTTGAAATAACTATACATAATGCAATAAATGAAGTTTGCCGTTTGGCCATTGACTAAAGTTCGTGGTTGCCGATTTCATCTTGGACAATCTTGGTATAGAGCAATACAAAAGTTTGGTCTTTCATCAGAATACATACAAAATACAGAAATAGGCCAATATTTAACGTATATATTTGGATTGCCATTCCTAGATCCACAATCAGTTGGGGATTGCTTTTCCGGTGAATTAGCTGAAATACTGCCAATGAATGAAAAACTCACAAAATTCAATGACTATTTAGTAGAAAATTATATTGCAAATGATTCAACATTTCCACCAGAAATTTGGGCAGAAAAAAGCAATAGTATTTATCGTACAACTAACTCGTGCGAATCGTTTCATTCAAAGTTTAATTCGCAATTTTATTCTCCACATCCAAATATATTCAACTTACTAAATATTTTATTTAGTATTCAAACTGATATAAAAATTATTATAAGGAGTTCCAATACAACAAAACCATACAGAAAAAAAATTAGAGATAAAATAACATTCTTAGAAAATTAAATTAGTAAATATGATACTGGTGTAAGTTCAAGGTTTCAATACATAAAAATATTGGCCTGTAAGTATAGACCCTGAAAAATAGTCTAATATAATATTTTTATTTAACTTATTAATTTGTATACATTTTATAATGACGCACTTTGATAGAATACTGTCTTTTTTTAAAATTTTAAAATTTATATAATATACATATATTTAACTTGAGTACCGTGAGAAAATTCAGGATTTTAAATACTATGCGATTATCATTTTATGGTCTCAAGTGTAACTTCTCAAATCGACTTCCTTGCTACATCTCATAGACTATATACAATCTTTTACTTTAATGCCCATTTTACATTGGCACATAGTGATCGCATGGTGATCACAATTAATTTTTAAAAGTTTATTTTACTATTTTTAGACGTTATCGCTGTAAAATCCCACAATAAACTTTACACGCGCGTGATAACACACCATGTTAACACACTATAACATACCATGTTTCACATAACTGCGTTGATGAACTGTTGTTAATTCTGATATCTATTGGTATAAAAGTACCAAAAACAGCTAAAACGTTTCTACAAACTCCTAAAGTAAACAGCCACAAAGTTAGTATTGTTCATCCTGGCTCATATATACATTTAGGTGTAGAGTTTATGCTTACTAAAATCTTAGCTCCTCATATATTTTACATTGAAAATAAGATCCCGATAAAATTAAGTGTTAACATTGATGGTTTACCATTAACATCCAGTTCAAAGTCCAGTTTTTGGCCAATACTTATATTTTTTGCAAATGTACCAATATTATTAAAAACTGTAGTTTCAGTAGGAATTTATCATGGTAAATTCACAAAACCTTCTTCGAGTCATGAATTTTTAAATCCATTTATAACAGAAATGAAAGAAATTATAAATAATGGTTTGTGTATTAATGATATTTTACTTAAATTTGAAATTTCCCAAATTGTGTGTGATGCTCCTGCAAAAAGTTTTGTGTTAAATGTAAAAAATTTTAATGCCTATCATGGATGTAACTCGTGTACAGTAGAAGGTACTTTCATAAAAAAATCGAATGGCTTTTTTAGAATTAAATGCTCCTTTAAGGTCCAATGAAACATTTAGAAATAAACTTGATGAATACTATCATAAAGATGTAAGTCCATTGGAAGAATTGCCAATAGATATAACATCAACGGTAGTACTTGAATACATGCATAACATATGTCTCGGTGTTGTTAAAAAGTTGATTGTTTTTTGGACCAAAGGTAAAAAGCTTGTTCTACTAATAAATCCTGATGAAGTATCACAAGAATTAGTTAATATCAAATCTTTTTTACCATCAGAGTTTAATCGTTTACCTAGAACATTAGAAGAAGTTGAATATTGGAAGGCCACAGAATTTAGAACTTTTTTGCTGTATACTGGCCCAATAGTATTAAAAGGCCGATTAAAAACATCACTATATAAACATTTTATACTTTTAAGTTCTGCTGTTCGCATCCTCATTTCCCCTGAAACTTGTTTCACTCATAATTACTTTGCTAAAGATTTGTTGAAAAGATTTGTAAGTGAATATTCATCTAATTATGGTGAAGAATATGTTGGTTATAATGTGCATGGGTTAATTCATGTCTGTGATTTTGTTTTGACACATGGTGCTTTAGATTTATTTAGTGCTTTTAAATTCGAAAATTATTTACAATTTATTAAAAAAAGTTCTAAAAATTTTAAAAATCCACTTGAAGATATTTATAATCGCATAATCTAACACTTAAATGCTCAAACTAATATTACTCCACAGAATTTCTCTATCCTTGAAAATGAATTGCCCTTTGATCATATAGAAAATAATTCAATAAATGAAACATTATATGAGAGAATTATTTTAAAACAATTTATTGTGAGCTCTAAAAAAGTTAAAGATTCATATTTTATACTTGATAATGATGATTTAGTCAAAGTCAATAAAATAATTCATTTTTTGAGTGGTAACATTAAACTAGAGGTAACTAAATTTATATATTTCCCTTTTTTTGTTAATCCTGTATCTTCAGATATACTTAAAATATTTTCTGTTAATGGAATTATACCTGAAGCTCGACTTTTAATTAATTTAAATGTATTAAAATATAAATGTTTTACGGTGCCAATTGATGAAAATAAATATATATCAATTGCATTGCTGCATACTGATTGACTTTAAACTTGTATTATTTACCTACATGATTAATTATTAGAATGAATATTATACATTTTTTTAGTTGAATTATTTAATTATTTGTGAAATATTAAAATTGTATGTATAATAAAACTACCTAACTAATAAATAGTTTTTGATATTATTAAAGAATTTAATTTTGTGATTATTGCAATGCATTCATTACAATATACCAATTATCATTCAATTGATATCTCGTTAGTGTGTCCCAGTAGGTTAGGCGTAGGTAAAATTAGCTAGGGGTCTAGGGTTCGAACCCGTGCGGGTACTTTTGTAAAATTTGTGGAAGTGAAGTGTTTTTTTTTTCATTTTTTTTCGGACGGCGGACACTGTGTAGTCTATGCGAAGTCATTGTGCTGGAATTAGGAATCTCCGGACCATCTCCGCGATAACCACAGGTACTAATATTATACTTCACATGCTATTTATGCTATCCGTAGTAATTTACTAAGTGATATCTATGAGTAAATAATGATAAGTTATATGAATATCACATACAATTGTTAATAAGGTTATCGCATACGACGACTTCCTGTTTCTGGACATTAAGCGTCGCATACTAATCTCGGAGATGTACACAGGCAAAAATTTAAACAGTCTCACTTCTCAATGTTATGATTATGTTACGTCGCGGAGATTAAATTTTGACCATAGGGTCATTATCATCAAAATCATTGTTTATATTATGAATTTGTATATTTGAACAGCCCTATACACATAATATAAATTCGTTAAACGATAGTTAAAAAAGTTTAAATTTAATTTGTTCATCTTAGATTCGGAGCGGAGCGATGAATATATTGATTTTACAATTTCTACCAATTTTCACCATTTTTAAACCAATAACCATGACCCTTGAAATAATATATTATTGAATTTAAATTTAACACAATCAATTACAGTGACCCACTCGCCCGCCTTTTTAATTATTTAAATACAAATAAATAAAGTATGAAATTGAACTAGAATTAACCTATTGACCATTATTATAATAACAATAGTATACATTATATTTTAATATATACCAGTATAAATACATTTTCACAAAAAAATTTATTTTAGTTCCCTACAACGAAAGATTTATGGAAAGCTGTAGCAATGGGATTTTGTGATCGATGGCAATTTGTAAACTGTGGTGGTTCAATCGATGGAAAGTACATACGAATTTTGCAACCCCCCGATTCTACAATTATAAAGGATTTTATAGTATCGTTTTGATGGCGATTGTAAATAGCAATTATGAATTCATATACGTCGATGTGGGAAAAAATGGGAGATTATCCGATGAAGATGTAATAGAATTCACTAAGTTTTACGAGCACTTAAAAAAAGGAAAATTACAACTTCCAGATTATAATGAAACCGTAAATAATTTAAATTTTGTTTTCCTTGGTGATGAAGCTTTTGCTCTACATGATAATATTTTAAAACCGTATCCGCAACGTGAATTGACAGAAGAAAAAAGAATATTTAATTATAGACTGTCTAGAGCAAGGAACTGTGTTGAAAACACCTTTGGACTTATCGCATCAAGATTTAGGTTATTACAAGGAGCTATTCACTTAAGTCCAGAACAGGCATCATATGCTGTGTTGGCGATATGTGCACTTCATAACTTAAGAAAACGAGAAAGTTCTTACGTCACCACAACAATGTTTGATAGACTAGATGGCAGCAATATATTAAATAATGGCGATTGGAGAGAAAATGGTAATAATGAACTTCCTGGACTACGGAATGAATACACGTACCAAAAATGTTTACGATGATGCCAAAATAAACAGAGATAAATATATGCACTTTTATAATGATGAAGGATTAGTTGAATTTCAAGGAGATATGATAAATACAATTTACACTACCTATATAATATTAATGAATATTTTTTAAATGGGTATATTATTATTAGGGTTCGGGACTTATTGCACCTACATTGTAGGAAATATGCATGCACATATGCACTTAAAATAACCGAAATATGCGCAAAAATATGCAACTAAATGTTAAAAAATTTGATTTATTTATTTAAATTTAGAAAATTATTTGTAATTAGTTATTTTTTGATAACATTATATTACTGAACTGTGTGTTCAATTTCGTTAACTTTGTCTTCTCCTACAATGAAAAAAGGTTGGGTTTTTAAAATTATTATTAAATATAGAAATGATGAATTGTTTACCTGTAAAGTTTGACTGTACAATAAGAGTCACGATATTTGTCTAAAAACTCGGAAATAAATTCTTTTGACAAATATCTCCAGTCACTCATGTCGGAATAGAAAAATATAAAAAATTTTAAATTCGAAGAAATAGGCCTATATTTTAGAAGCACCAAACCAGTAACTTTTTACTAATTAAATTTCTGTTACACCTTGCCAACGTGTTACGCATCACTGCATTATGCGCACAAATCGTGGACGATAAACCAGGCAGAAACATGTTTAAATCCTGAAGGCTTTCCTAAATGCCAATTTAATATTTACACACGCACTCTTTCGTGTACGAATGGAACGCCGCTTTCCAATCTCGCGAGAAAACGCGAACGTCAAAAGCGGCCTATTGGGACACTACGTTCGTACTTCGTATCGTCACTTCGTTAGCTTGTCATACTGCAGTATAACAATATTATTGTTGGTACGCCCCGGTATTTGTAGTATTATAGGTATTTTATAATTTATTGGGTGATGGTAATATATCCGAATTGGATTTTTCAGACGAAGAAACGGAAGAGCAGTTCGATAATGAAGAGCTGTAACACTTATTAAATGATCTTGAACAATTGTTAAGACCAAGACGAGTTGAATGAAACAGAAATTGAGATAAGTATAACCAGACTAGTATTCATTTTAATGTAACTAAAAATAAATATAAAATGGGATATAGTTCCTTTTCGTCCACCTGAATTAAAATTGAAAGATTTAGAAGAAAGAAATTATCCACCAGAAATGCCTTCCATAACAGATTATTTTTATGAATATTTAGATGAAGATATATTTGAAAAAAAATATTGTCTATTATACAAATTTGTATGCCATACAAATTTCGCAAGCTAGATATAAACCCACCAATTATAACGAAATAAAAAAGTTTATTGGGATTCATTTGATAATGGGTTGTCTAAAGTATCCCCTTGTTCGTTTATATTGGGAGAATGCTACTTCTGTGAATATTATTATTGAAAATATGTCCCTCGATCGATTTTTTACATTACACTGAAATTTTCATTTGATCGATAATACAGAAATTAATAATACAGATAGATTTTAAAGATAGACGTATTCTCTATAAGATTTATGAAGAACAAGAAACCATTATTAATATTAATACAACAACAGTGGCTGCCAAAATCTAAAAAAGTGTGAGACAAGGGTCACTTTCACCTGCATTATTCAATGTGTTTATTGAAAAAGCAATAAATGTCATACAACTTTATTTAGAACAAGAAGGAATTGGAGTGAAAATAGGAGGGGTACTAATAACATTGCTTCGCTTCGCTGATGATATAGTCGTTCTTGCAACATCCGAGGAAGACTTACAATCAGCATTAAATGTAATGAATATTACGTTCAAAGAATATAGTCTGAAAATAAATGCAGCCAAGACCAAAGCCCTAGTATGCTACAAGAAAAACATACCATCTATAAATATATCGTTAGAAAATAAAGAAATTATCTAAGTAGACAATTTCAAATACTTGGGCAGCGTTATAACAGACGAAGGGAAATCAATTTAAGAAACTAGAAGCAGGATAGGTCAAGCAAAGAATACATTCCTCAAAAAGAGAAAATTACTAACATCAAAAAATATGAACATAGTAACGAAGAAACGGCTTATAAAAACATACGTCTGGAGTGTGGTATTATACGGAAGTGAGACATGGACGATTAATAAGAGAGAAAAAGATATGTTAGAAGCTTTCCAAATGTGATGTTGGAGAAAGATGCAGAGAATAAGCTGGATTGATAGAAGATTAAATGAAGACATCCTGAGGACAATAGATGAAAAACAAATATTGATAGACATTATAAAGAAAATGAGATGGCAGATGATAGGACACACGTTAAGGCATGGAGATGAACAGCATAGTGTAATAATCGAAGGATGATAGAGGGTACAAGATCAAGAGGAAGACCTAGGACGAGATACATTATATATAGTCAAATAATGCAGGATGCAGGAGTCACTTCCTACAAGGAACTGAAGAACAGAGCGAATGGCAGGTAAAAATGGAGAAGTCATTTATTGTAAAACATTTTGTTAGAAACCAATCTATGGATTGAAAAACTAAAAAAAAAAAAACAGAAATTCCAAAAATTAATACCGCTAAATGTATAAAAGTTCGTCCTCTATACGACGCAATTATTAAAAAATATAATAGCTTGCCGGTTGAAAGAAGGTTAAGTGTCGATGAACAAATGGTTCCTTATAAAGGACATTTGCAAATGAAGCAATATGTAAAAGGTAAACCCTGCCCGTGGGGTAAAAAGCATTTTTGTTATGTGGTGAAAATGGTATGGCTTACAACATACTGCTTTATCAAGGGGATACCACTGAAGTAGATCCAAGTACACAAAACAAATTTGGTCTAGGCGCTAGTGTAGTATTATACTTAACAAAACACCTTGAAAAAAATAGACATTTCCTTTTTTTCGATAATTTTTTTTT